GACTTCATTGTGTCCCATAAATTTAAATATGTTTTGTTTCCATTTTCATTCAATTCTAAAGAGTTTTGAATTTATCTCTTAATTTCTATGTTGACCATTCTTCATTTAGTAATGAGTTGTTCCCACATTTCAATGCCAGATGTATGAAGGTTCTTTCAGGCTTCATAGAAGGCTTAGAAAAATGGTCTGGGTGAGTAAAGATTAAAATTCAGATCACTCTGATTTTGGTACTGGTGCTGGGCCAGCACTTCCAGAGTCTCATCCAGACCTGATCATTTTACTTTAGTCAATTAAGCACAGCATAGTTGTGAGAAAAATGGTTTCTGATAATGATAAACCCAGATCCATGTGCACAATGATTTTAAAACATGTTTACATTGAGATTCTTTACAAAGTATATCTGGCCTCTTTGACAAAGATGGATGATTTTGTAAGCCTATGGGTGTTGTATCCAACTTTAATCCATGGTAGCCAGAAATTCTGTATGGTGTTCAGTTTTCTTTTATCTGTTGAGACTTGCTTAATGTTGGGGTATGTGGCCAATTTTGGGAAAAGTTCCATGAGGTACTGAGAAGGTGTATTATTTTGTGTTTGGATGGAATTCTTGTTAATTATTTTTTGCATCATTGGTTTATTATATCAGTTAGCTCCAGCATTGCTCTGTTTAGTTTTGTCTAGATGATCTCCTTATCAATGAAAGTGGAGTGTTGAATTCTCTATCAATATGTTGTCTATTCTATCCATTGAGATATGAATATCTCCACAGAGTGTGAGGATCAATATATGGCTTATGTAGTAGTGTTTCTTTTATGAACTTGTGTGCCCTTGTGTTTGATGAGTAGATGCTTAGAATTGCAATATAATCTTGGTGGATTTTTTCTTTTGATGAGTACATAATGTCCTTATCTATTTCTTTTGATTAACTTTGTCTTGTCCATTATGAAAGTGGCTACACTAGCTTGCTTCTTGAATCTGTTTGCTTGGAATATCTCCAACTAAGACAGAACTAAGACAGAATTTGGTACCAGGAGCGGGGTATTGCTGTATGATAGGCCAGACCATGAAAAGAAGTGTGTTACAGTCACCAAAGCTAAAAGAAGTTGGACAACTGAAGTGCATTTTTACATCCAACATAGAGATAAAGAGTGTAGAGTTTCTCCAGCTGGGTTTGGTCTTGCTTTGATTGAGTATTCTCACTATGCACCTTTTGGAAAAGTAGTCCATACATCTGCTACTATATGTTGGAAGTATGTGATCTGCTTTTCATTTTGATTTTATAGGGGATTGCAAGACAGTTAAGTGACTGAAATAAGTTTCAGAAGAGACTTTGAATTTTGGAGTTTTACAGGGTTGTGATTGTTTTAGACTGTGGAGACTTTCAAAGTAAGTTGAATTTAATGCACTTTTTCACTGTGATACAGCTACAAGCCTATGGGGGGCAGGGAGTGAAAGATGGTGGTTGGACCCATAGGGAGTGATTCTAGTGGTATTAGAAGGTGTGTTCTTGCTGAAGTAATTTTGGCATTGTCAGAGAAAGAGTGCCTCAGTATCTCTCTGCTGCCCAAGGATCCATAGGTACAACTCTCAGCTCCTTTTCTATCATTGTGTATGCCTTCACTCTGCAATGCTTCCAATAATGGACTAATCCTCTTGAAACTGTAATCCCTCCACACTTTTCTTTATAAGAGTTGCTGTGGTCATAATGTCTTATCACAGTAGTGGAAACCCTGTGTAAGACAGAAGTTGGTACCAGGGATTGAAGTAGACATTTATAAGCAATGGGAAAAGGAAATAATTTTTGACTCTGTAGACTCACACTGGCATCTTAAAATGATTATCAATATGTGTGGTAATAGAACTTAAAATTTAATGGCAAAAGAGAAAAAATTAATGGAAATCAAGATAAAGTTGATGCCTAAATAAATCAATTATATAAGTAATAAGGTCAGGCAGAATAATCTATTAACAAAATGATAAGAATATGCAGGTCTTTTGTACTATTGTGTTATTAAAACACTGATTTCTTGCCCTCATATCTTGTTTCAATACAGACAAGGCATTGTAATGCTTATAACAAGAATTTCCTGTCTTAAGTTTGTTTTAACAATTGTTATCATTTAGGCTCTGTCTTTTCAATAAATGTTGATCACCCAATGGTTGGACAAGAGAGAGAAAAGGATGGGATATCCACTAGCTAGGGAAGGTGAGAAAGAGATGGAGTTTCAGATCAGTCAAGGGAATGGGAGAACTGAAGTCATGAGGAGGGGGTTCCAGGAAAAGGTCATGGAAACACTTAGGCACAAAGAGCCAGATCAATAATAATATGAAAATACCGTGAGATAAAGCAAAGAGGTAGCCAGACTAGCATAGGAGATTTAGATAGATCATTTAACTGCTCAGCTATTGAAGTATAGCTTGAAATAAATCTTGGTTTTTCTGTGTGGTTACTGGAGATTAGCTAAGTCCAAGAAACATATCTTCTAGATTCATTGCTTACATTTATATTAATGATAATTCTTTTACAAGAATAGATTTGGTATAGGAAAAGCACATGTGTTAGTATCTGTAAGGATGTCATCAATTTATTTCTTTATCAACTATATGTGGTAAAATGAGATTTACCCAATATTTAGCAGTATATGTTTATTCTGAAACCATGTTATTTAAAAAGCCACCTAATTGTTACACTAAACCATACATGTAGTAAAGTGCTATGGGGTGGGTCCCAATTCTATTTCAGCACCAGAATTTTTCATTATTTCACAAGCTTCACTGATAAGCATCCTCTGAAGATTGCCATTGAAGAGAACACAAAAAAATAGATAAAAGTTTAAAAAATAACTATTCTATACCAAGTTCTTGCTTAGAGGCCAAGGGAAGAGATACACGTTAAAACCTACTATTCTGAAAAATTCATACATATCCTTAAAGTGAAACTTCCTCTGTGCAATGTACCTCTGGGAACTTATCTTTCTACCTACTTATGTGTAACTTAGCACCCACTGTTTTCCATAATGGTTGTACAAGATTACATTCCCACAACGAGTGTATTAGGTCTTTCTTTATCTACATACTTTCCTTCAAACTGGAGTCTACCTAGATTTATTTTACAGGTCTTGTGTTTGCTTTTTTTTTATAGGGATAGAAGAGTACATAGTTTCTATTGTCCTAGGACTCTTGGTATAGGAACACACAATTTTCTTATTAATAATCATCATGTATTAAGAATTTCTTGATACTATAACAGCTTTCAGAAATGCATATTACCAATGTTCCTTCCCCCATTCTTCTATGTGAAACCTACAAGGGGGTGATTTAGATTTACCTTTCCTTTGCATGAAGTGACTTTGAAGTATTAGCTAATATTATTTAATGACAAGTATGTAGTACTGTTCTTTTGCTCTCAGGAATGTTGTGAGGAGATAAATGTGAAAGTGAAATGGCAAAATAAATGAGCCAGAAAATAAGACCCCTGAACAAGGAAATTTTAGTGCCTAAGCCAAGCAAGTAAAACCTTTGAGGTTAATTATAAATCCAGTTTATTATAGATTTTAAAAAGAAAACAATTTTGTGGTTTCTTATCACCATGGGCAGCTTCTGAAGCTCCAAATAGAATTTCCTAATGAGCATGGAAATAAATCTGTTTCTTTATTTCCCAGACACTATGTAGCTTGGCTACAAATTAGTACTGACCAGCTGTTTCTGTTCCTCCTTGAATCCACCTGGCCTTATTGCACACATTTGAGTTTGGAAATAATGCATGCTTCCTCTTAAATACTATCCTTGCTTTAGTGCATTGTCATCCTGATACTGGCTTCTGGAGTAGTTCAATAAGAAAATGGCAACAAGAGTCTTCCAAGAGTGGCAGAAGAGTGTCAGTGCAGAGTCTCAATCCTTTGACCTTGTGTCTGTATCATTAAGTGTTAGGCATCTTGAGGACCTTAGAGCTAAAATTCCAGGATCCAGTGAAGGTTTTAGAAATGGGATGGAGTCCAAAATAGGCTAGGAAATAGAAAGACAGCAAGTCACAGGATTGCAAATGCTGTAGTGAACTGCTGTCAAACATGTTCAGGAAATCTTTGGGATTTCTAAATGATGTTGGGAGACGTTTCCATAAATAGTTGTGAAGATATGAATCAAAGGTTTGGATATGGAAGATGGATGTTGATTCCTTGTTTCTTGGTGGAATTAAAGCCTGTATAGTGGTTAAACTGCCAAGTTCTAAGTTAAATTTCCTTCTTCTGCGTCTTCATTGTTAGAGTAAAAGCAGTGTCTCTTTGGCAGAGTCTTGTATCTAGCTTCTTTTTATCTACCTTCACAGGTAACCACTGACTTATACTGGATAGATCCTGTGAACAGTTTGATAGTGTATGTATGCATGGCCTCATACTAGTATATACAATTGATTTGTATTTGTATACATTATGAAAGCTATTTTATACTTCTAAATCAGATATACTTTTTAGCACATATTCTTTCAATCAATATTACTCTGCTGAGGTTTTCTATTTTAGTACATTTAAGACAAGTTATTTTTATTTTAATATATGTATCATTTTCCACTTACTAATAATTGTATCTCAACATGATTAATATTTAAAGAGGATTGCAGAATCAGTACTACAATAAAGCACATAACTTCCTGTTATACTTCACTCTGATAATTGACTTTATAATATTTGTAGTGACATTTATACTGTGAATTCTTAAAGCTTCAAAATATTTAGATGATTTTAACATACTATTTCAACACTGATCAATTATTTTTAAGGTTTTATAGCTTAGATTTAAAGATGGATGTTTGAGTAGAAATTCAACCCATCAACTTAGCATTTCCCACAAAAAAGCTGAACAGAAATGCTCAAGACATAGCTCCCAGATTTTCCCGTCATTTGTTTGGATACTCTCCAGGAGTGTGTCAGCCATTGCTCTTCTGACAGGTACTTGGGGTGCTTTCTTAGCTTCTTTGACATCCCTACCACCAGGATCTCCTTGGGACTTTCTAAATATTGAAATTCATAATCTCATGTGTTCTTCTTGCACAGGGTCTATGCTAATCTTGTCTGAACTGTTCCAGCTTTCCAATATCTGCTGCTGAAGCAAGCCAATCATTGGTCATTACTTTTATCATAGAGTCTTTGTCACCTATTAAGACTACTAAATGTCACTTTCTGTGATATACACTTATGAAGTACTATCTACAATTTGCTGGTTATATCTCACAGTCATTCATAGCTCCAGAATTTCTCTTACAGTGTACAATTAATACCCAATGTGTTCTGGAATTTTTCCTGACAAGTCTTTGTATCACTTTAGCACATAGTATGAAATCAGTAGTTATTGGCTGGTTGATTGATGGGTCTACTGAATTGAATCTAAAATTCATCCTATCACACAAAATGATTTTATCCTTCAACATATAAATAATACAGACAGAAATGGGATATTTAGAATTAAGAAAAATGTAAAAATAAGAAATGCTTTTAGAACTTACCTGCCTTATTGTGTGGAAGCTTCAAACTAGAAATATTAAGATGTTTGCACAAATGACTCATGCAATATGAGACCATTTTATCATAAATTGTAATTTAAATTTTAATATAATGCATTTCATATTTCCTATTAGTAGAATTAGTTCTTAAATTATATGAAATATCAAGTATGTACAAAACCACAAAAATAATCCCAACATTTATGTGCCATCACTAAGATTCAACAGATGTTAACATTTTGCCATATGTGCATCAAATCTTTTTTAAAATAGCAAATAAAGTATTATGGATTTCACTAAGGTCCCCAGCCCCTTATATATATCCTTTCCTATCTAACTAGAAACTCACACATCAAAATGTTTGTGATTCTGTTGTGTGCCATGTTTCCAGAAACAGTATAAACGGGCTTGGTTTGTATGTCCTGGGGTTGCAAAAAGAAAACTGAAGGCAAAAAATGAAATTTGTGACTATAGCTTAGCCAGTAGAGTGCTTGTCTTTTAAGTATGAAGACATGAGTTAAATCCCCAGATTCAATGCAAAAATGTTGGGCATTTGATATGAATCTGTAATCCTAGCACTAGGGTAGTAAAGAGGAGATCAGTGGAGCTTGCTGATCAAGCAGTCAAGTACCATTTGTCAGCTCTGAACCAATGGGATACCCTACTACAAGAAGTGGATACACTTCTTGCAGATGACATTTAAAGTTACTCCCCCAACATCAACACACTTGCACCTGTGAACATACTTATATGTTTATATAAACACACATATGCACATGAAATTCGAAACTGAGGCATATTTTATGGGTCATATGGACAGATTCAATCTATTTGTAATTCTTGGCACATAGAATCATTCATTTTACTATATTACAGAAGGCTTATTTGTTACAGTGTTGTTGGGTTTGCATCCAAACTGTACAGATTCAGAGAAAGAATGATTTCTGTTTGAGGTCATTGGCACAAATGGAGATCAGCAACAACTGCTAAGATCTGCAGAGAGAGCCTGACCTGATACAAAGAGATAGCTCATGTGTGTCATTTCAATAGCTCATTGTTTCTTTGCTTAATAAAAACAGTAAATGTGTATACTGTGCACTAACCAAACATATGCACCATTAGTATTTTCTCTCTAGCTTTTTCTACCCAACCTAAAACTAAGGCATTTAGGATTAACCTTGAAATACATATTGTTTAGAATAAAACATCTTGCATAAGATAAAAACCTGTGAAAATAAAACGTGTTCAAATTAAAGGTTCATTAACATGTAAAATCAACCTTCATTTGTGTGTATTATGTTTTACATGAATAGGTTCACTCCATATACCTTTTAAAATTGAACTGGCCCATTGACTTTATTTTATATATTGCTCTTGCTGACATGTTGATACATTCTACTTACTTTAACTGCTGTCAAATTCTGTGCCAGGCTAATCAAGCACATTTCATTTTTTCTCAATTCAAAAAGCGGTTTTTATACTTGTGAGCAAAGGTAAAGCAAACATTCTCCTCCATCTCTCTCTGAATAGGTGTAGCACTGTCACCAAGGTAACCAATTAGAGTGAAATTTTCGACCACGGGATGTGTCCATCTTATGCAAACCCCAAAGCAACTGAAAATCATGCACTCCGCCCTTTCATTATCTTCTTACTTCTTTCCAGGGATTGGTCCAAGTGACGCTCACTTTTCTTTAAGGTTTTGCCTGCTCTTTCAAGTGCCTTTCTAACCATTTCTTAGGAAGTCACCCAGTGCACATGCTTACTTTTATTTCCATCATATCTACAGTCTCTTTCCAAAATTATTTCTTTGAGATTTGGTAGATACTATAGTTACAAGATGTACATTTCACATTGACAGTCCACGTATTTGACAGTAGCATTCTAATGCTATAACGCAAATGTAAAATTCCTATCTCCTGGTAACGTCACCATGTTATAGCAGAGCAGGATAGTTATGTGCTTCTTGCATTTTTAGTGTCCTCGGACCTACCATATTACCAGTCTTGTAGTAAGTTAGCATGTATAAATATGCTTACTGAGATATGATACAAGTACTTGATAATAGTAATAATAATGGCTATCTTAGGTTTCCTATTACTATAAAGAGACACCATGACCATAGTAACTCTTATAAAGGAAAACATTTAATTGTTTTCCTGGTGTTGGCTTACAGTTTCAGAGGTTAAGTCCATTATCATCATGATGAGAACCATTGCAGTCATGCAGGCAGACATGGTGTTGGAGAAGGAATTAAGGATTATACAATTTGATCCACAAGCAGCAGAAACAGCCATATACTACACTGGGTGTATCTTGAGCATATATGATTTCAAAGCCTCCACCTACTATATCCTACTTCTTCCCACAAGGCCATACCTACTCCAACAAACCCATACATCCTTAAACAAGCCCACACATCCTAATAGTGCCACTGCCTATGGACCAAGCATTCAAACACATGAGTCTTTGGGGGCCATTCTTATTCAAAGCACCACACTGACATATGTTCTTCTCTATCACGTGTCATATAAAGTGTATTGTTTATATTTATTAAAATCTGTTTACTGTTATGCTATATACCTTCCAAAAGAGCAATCTCGTGCAATCTTGTTTACCGTTTCTCTTCACTTCCTCTACTGTTTCATTCCATCTTATGTCTGTACAAATTAAGCCAATACAGTCACACAATAGAGTCTTCTTGAAATATAACCTCCACATCATCATGGAAAATATGCCTAGATTTTCAAAACAAACAAATATTAGTTATTCATTTGATGTTAATCTTTTATTAAACACTGTGAATGTGCTAAATCTTATACTCAGCACAAGATGTGGTGAGCAAGCCCAGAATACTATTCTTCCTAAGTTGTTTATAACCTGGTGCAAGATGTTTACAGTCCCATGACTATTTTCAAGAAAATGATGTTTAATTATTGTAATCACACCAAGCCATGAAACTCATGTTAGCAGTGCTTCTGGAAAGAGAGTGTGGCTTTCACTTTAGTAACTCCCCATGGAAACCATCTGAGAACATACTGTACTGAAAATGTCAGAGACAAGAAATGAAAAAAGTCCTAGAAATAGAAAGGGATAGAGAAAGGGGAAAAGGGAGGAGAGTAAGCCAGATTCTGAGAGATGCAGAGAAAACGAGCAATTTCAACACACACACACACACACACACACACACACACACACACACAAATTAATAAATTGGAAACCTCAGATAAAAACTCGACATAACAGAGCTATTTTATATTTTAAATCTTTTTAATAAACTTTACCTCTATCTTCTTTTCTGAATTATGTGTGTGTATATGTGTGTGTTTGCATTAGTGTGTGTTAGTGTATGTGTTTGTGTCTATATGTGTGTGTTTGTATTAGTGTGTTTTTTATGGTGTGGTATGTGATTTGTGTGTGTGTCTCTCTCTGTGTATATATGTCTGTGTGTGTGTGTCTGTGTATGTGTGTGGCGTGGTGTATGTCTCTGTGTATGTTGTATGTGTTTGTGTGTGTGTGTGTGTGTGTGTGTGTGTACCAAAATAGAGATAGCTCTAGCTCTTAGTTACTGTTTTTGCTGGAATATTTTTCAGGTTCAGTCTCTTCTCTCCTTTTCCATTGACAACCAATACAACCTCAGGGCTGACCTTCGTGCATTTACAGTCAGCAATCCCTGGGGAAGAGAGTCTGATGCTGAACCTTCTCTTCCTTCTATAAGCTCCGGGAACTCATTTGTCTGTTCTCTCTTGCTAGGACAGACCATGTTGCCCCCCCCGCCGCTTTTTTTTTATAATATCCCTGCTTACGTTAAATGTGCCCAAACAAGCCCACTGAGATTAATCAAATATTTCACTGTTTTCTTGTTCACAGTTGTTATTGATTTGCAATTAAATGACATCAGATCATAGGCCTTTAATAGCTAAGAATTATATAATTATTGAACTCCAGTGGAATGGTTTAAAAGATACTTGCATTTAATAACAATTGAATTCTAATAGTCTCATGTCATAAGTATTTGTGTTAACTCAGATTACTAACAAGAAACTTAAGCAATAAGATCATTGACTATAGCAAGTTCATTGACTGTGTGTGTATGAATTTTTGTGTGTATGAATGTGTGTCCAGGTTGTGTCTGTGTGTGTACATGTGTGCATCCATGAATGTGTGTGGCAACCTCAGGTGTTTCTCAAGATTCATCTGTATTTTAATTTGTTAAATGATGTCTCTCACTGTCCTAAAATTTGTCAAATAGATTATCTGGTTGGTCCATCAAGCTCCAATAATCCACCTGCCTCCTCCTCTTTTGTGAGGCCTTACAACTGCCTACTATCACCATGCCACTGTAATTAATATTCATTCTCAGAGTCAAGCTCAGGTCCTCTCGCTTGCAGGTCAAACACTTAACCAATTAAGCTATTTATTTTTACAGCCCCTTTATGTTTTGTTATTCATAGCTACATAATGCTTGTGTTAAGCTCTCATTTCAGAATTGACTAGACATGTGTCCTGAAAATGTAACCCTTAATTTTTCATTATTTTTGCCTTTGGAAATTTGGAATTGATTTCTTCAGGCCACTATGCATGACTTCTAATATCTGATACCACCATATTAAAG